ACACAATGTCAATTTGGGGGTTTTGGGACAAAACCACCAATATTGGTATTAGTGTGCTGGCCTCTCTAGAGCCTTAAATCCGATACCGTTTTTGCTATGACGAGCATTTTGCTTTTTTCGACACACTCGAATGACGAGCATTTTGCTTTTTACGACACATTTTCGACACATTTTCGTTAGATTTTTCTTTATACTATTCTACATGCCATTGAAATCTAATGATCTACCCCCCGTGAGCATGAGCATTTATGCGAATGCGATATGGTTGCGAAGCGTAGCGGAGCATAGTTAGCTAATTTGATTTCTATTTTGTTATCCACCCCCGTGAGCATGAGCATTTATGCGAATGCGATACGGTTGCGAAGCGTAGCGGAGCATAGTTAACTAATTTGATTTATTAAATCTAACCAAATAAGTCTAACGAAATTTTTCATACCAGTTTTAGGACAAAACCCACAATATTAGTATTAGTGTGTTGGCCCTTCTAGAGCCTTAAATCCATAACCGATTTTGCTATGACGAGCATAGATAACTAATTTGATTTCTATTTTGCTGTCTACTCCCGTGAGCATGAGCATTTATGCGAATGCGATACGGTTGCGAAGCGTAGCGGAGCATAGTTAACTATTTTGATTTATTAAATCTAACGAAATAAGTCTAACGATTTTATGTACCAAAAAATCTAAACGAAAATTTACTATATCGATGGGCTAATTAGGACAGAAAAATATTATAGTACTAGATATATGTCAAATCTTTATAAAGCATGATTCTCATATACAAGCTAAATATAACGAAAGTCTAACAATTTTAGTATCGGGAATTGGGATAAAAAAATGTATCAATTAGATTAAAATATATCAAAGAATAAAGTATTAAGTTTAGATAGACATACCTTTTAACATCTGTTCTACCTCTTCTTCAGATCTTTCACGATTTTCCTCCTTGGCTATTTGATAGTAAAGTATATATAATTTCTCTAGGCTGTTAAACAAATCATTATCGACATATCTTTTGCGATAATTTTCTAGCCTTAGAGTATATGCTTCTTCGTTAGGAAACATTTTTACAGCGATTGACTTAATATAGTCATTTGGATTTTTTTCAGCCCGTAATTTCTTTAAAAAGTCACCATAATTTTTCGCAAGATTATCATATTTTCTGCCTTTACGCAAAGCAGTTTTAATAACTTGGAATTGTGCTGTCTCTATATCAGTGTGATTGGTCATTTTATATAAAGGAAATATAAAAGTTTAAATAATAAAAACATATCGCTTCCTAGACACAAAGTGTCATTTCTTTGAAATAAAAATCTAACGAAAAAATTTAAGTTTAATGATTCTGCCGGAATTCATTTGCTATACTTATTCAGGCTGACAACTATCACAATATTCTCCCTCATCCGCTTTTATTGGATGGAAGCATTCTCTGCAAAGCGTAATATTAAGATTTTCAAGTGCGTCTTTATGAGCAAGCAGTATATTCTCATAAGTTATTATTGCGGAGCAGGCCCGAAGGGGCGATGGATCGAAGATCCGAGACTCTGTCTCCCCTAAAGGGTCATGGCTCTTTGAGCCTTCTTGAATATTTGAATTTGCAGATTCTATTGATCGAAGTCTATTATAGTATTGAGCAACGTAATACCCTCTGATATGCAATGGACAACGCCCAGAAATCGATCCAGTAGGTTTTCCACAATCACTACAAGGAACGCGCTTTTTAGATTTCCAATGAAATCGGCAACCCTCAGGCCGAATACAAGGTCTATTACAAGTTTTTCCAGAATTAAGAAGATAGGAGCACGAATACTCACCAATCATTTTTGAATATAGGATATAAAATAATTATTTAAAGAAAAGATTTTGTATAAGTAAAATATAAACGTTTTGGTTAGACTTAGCAAACTA